TGAAATTTACATAGGCTTATTTTTCATTATTTCTCCTGTGAGAATGAGCAAGGATTCTGGTGTTTTATTTTTTTTTCCCACTGATGTGTCCCAAGTGTCCACAATAGTACCTGGCACCTAGGTGTTCAAAAATATCCCTTTTATAAATAAGGGAATGAAAAAATGGCCACCTTTATGCCTTTGTTTTGGTTTTGGTATCCTGCAGTTTAAGTATGATATGTCAGGGCATGAATTCATTTTTATTTATCCTGGTACAGACTCAATGTGGTTCTTGAATCTAAAGATTCCCATCTATTATCAGTTCTGAAAAATTCTTGGCCATTATATCTTCAAGTATCCACCCCCCTTCAGCCCTGTTCTTTTTGTTGTTTTCTTCTGAAACACCAATTGGATGTAGAGTATACTGTTAACTCTATCCTTCATGTCTGTTACCACCTTTTTTTTTTTTTTTCCTGATCTCTTTTTCTCTCTGTGTGTCTCTGGGTAATTTCTTTGAGTATACCTTCCATTTCATGAATTCTGTTTTCAGCTACATCTAATTTGCTCTTTTACCAAAAATTGAGGTTTTAATACTATTTAATAAGATTTTCATAACCAGTTGTCTGGTTCTTTTTCAAGTTTATTTATTTATTTATTTTTTTGATAGTATTTTGCTAATTGTCCATAGTTTGGTTTCTTGTTTTCCTTTCTTACAACACTAAAAAAAAAAAAGTTTATTTAAGTTTCCTACTCATTGCATTTATTTAGTGAACTTGGGGTTCTAACTTGGGATTGGGATTGCCTGTTTGATGGTTCTATATTTGTGGGAATCCTATGAGGCCAGGTTGAGGGGGATTTGAGTTTGCTTCCAGTAGCTGGACCTTACCAGAGATACCTTTAAATTGATTTTACAGTTTGGGGTTTTCTGGATCACAAGGATGGTGTAAATCCAACCTCCAAACTCTTGTGAAGTACGGGACTGTGGATATGAATTCTCAGAGGAGATTAGTTTTCTAAATAGAGATGAACAAGTTACCTTGTTATCCTACTTGCTCCCTTGCTTGCTATCTCTTTTTGCCAGCTCTGTTAGTCAGGGTAGCCTAAGTTCTGCTTCAGTAACAAACAGTCCTTTCACTGGTGAAACCCAACAAAGGCTTATTTCTTGAAGCTCTTGCAAAGTTTGCAGGGAATCTGAGCAACTCAGATTGGAGAGACAACTGTCCATCATGGAGCCAGTCAATGATCCAGGTTTCATCAATCTCAACACAACTCTACCATCTGAGTGTGCAGCATCCTCAGGCACCTGGGGATGGGGGTGGGAGAGAGCACTGGAGAATCTGGCACTGGATGTTGATTGCTTTAGTCTAGAAGTGGCTCACTTCTCTTCTTCTCAGCACCCTTTGGCCAGAACCAGTCCCAAAGATAGGCTAATTGCAAGGGGCAGGAAACCTCTGTGCCTGGAGGAAGAGGAACGTTGAACCTGGGGGGCGCTAGAAGTCATCACTCTTCCAGCAGGTGGAATTCACCTAGATGCCCATTCCTTGGAGTGGGAGCCCTCTGAGCCAGCCTGGCTTTTGGCATGGATGCTGGTCCCAACACTCCACCTTGCACATGCCCAAGGCTCTCTCCTGTTCCTGAGCACCTTCCCTGCGAGGATGCTGGGACTGTCCAATGCCCTGAGGTTGCTTCGGTGTCAGGATCAGCTCCTCACTCTCCATTTCAGATCCCCTTAGTTTGGGCCCCTGGGTGACTCCTCTACTTTCTGTAAGCTCTGTTGCATATTGCAAATAATGTTTATTGCATTTTATATAGCATTCCCAGGTATTTCATTTCAGGAGGTAAGTAGTATTATTATCCACACTTCATAGGTGAGGAAACAGGCAGAAAGTTTCAGCAATCTGCCCAAGGACACACATCGGGGGTCCCGGAGCCTTGCTTCTCAGCCAGGCCTGTCTGATCCCACAGCTACCTCCTTCTCTGGCCTTCCTTGGGACAGAGAGGGATGGTGTCTGGCACAGAGACCCAGCACAGGCTTCCCAGAGGAGGCAACCTTTGACCTGGTCTGCAAGGATGTGAGGTTGGGGTGTGAGGGGACCGAGACCCATGTTGGCTGCTCTATAAATATTTGCTGAATAAATGAATACATAAATAGCCAGCTAAAGGAAAGAGGGTGAATAATTGCTGTTGGTAAAGTGTGAGTCAGTTTCTTGCAATGGCTCGTATTTGACCCCCAGTTTTTCTACCTGCTCTTGCCTAATTTCCCAAGCTAAACAAACTGGGAAGCATTTGTGGGAATTCCAAGGAGCGAGTCTCTCTTGCAGGCTCAGCCGTGGCAGTTAAGCTAAAAGGACAAGCCTGTCTGAGCCCTCAGCAGAAGTGGCACAGAGGACCCAGCCGGGAGGTCAGCCCTGGCACCCATGCCGAGACTGTCATCGGGGTGGTGCGAGTCCCCAGGCCGTCCCGCCAGCTCACCTGGGAGGAGCGAAAATAAACAGAGAAATTCTGGGTTGAGCCTGGACTTCGGTCAGAGCTCCTTCATAAACACCCTCCCTTGGTTTTAGTGCGGGGAGGGAACTTGAGTCCCTGGCCTGGGGGAAGGATGAGATCCAGAAGGGCCCCCCTCCCCCCGAGGCAACCGTCCAGGGAACCCTAGCACGTCGGCCTCAGGTGGGAAGTGGGGCACCACACAGCACTCAGGGCAAAGCGGAGGGGCCAGATGCCTTTCAAGTACTTCTAATTTCAGGTAATGAGAGAGCTTGCAGAATAAAATCAGGAGGCCTTGTGGGCAGGCTCCAGTTGAGGCTCTCTTGGGAACATTTAGAAGATGGAAATATTGTTGTCTGCTCAGATGGCTGGGATGTTTCAGAAAGGCAGCCCGTCCTTATCGATCTCCTCCTGGGGGCCAGGCTCGAGTCAGTGCTTTCACACCCATTAACTTAGGCAATCCTCATAAAAGCCTGCAAAACAGGCATCATTATCCCTGGTTCTCACGTGAGGGATCGAAGATGCGGTGGTTAAGGAAGTTACTCCAGGTCACTTAGCTGGAAAGTGTGGCCTGGGGACCCCGCTTCTCCATTAGGTACGGCAGGCATGTGTCTCAACGCCATTCTTAGGGGCTCACGGACATCTGTTCGATTTTGCCTACTGTGGACAAATGTTGAAGTATTTGAAATTTTATTTAAAAAATTTAAAATATAGATATTATTATGGTGTGGGCATGAGCGTCACCATGCAGCTCCGAGGGATTGTAACTTGGCCTGGCCCCCCCAGAGGCCAGGTTCTCGAGGGGTCCCGGAAGAGCATGCGGGTGATGCCGTGGGTGGCCCCAGTGCACCTGACATTAGACAGAGCTCTAGCAGAAGGGTGCGCGCCTTTCCCAGCCCCCGCACACGGCATAACATCGCCATTCCTGCCCTGGGCTGGGGTGGTGGGGCGTCCAAGGCAGGCTTCTAAAGATGGGGAGTACTGAGCAATAGAGAATCTGCCCTTTTGCTTGTGCATTTGGTCACACTGTGGCCTTTGTTTTATAATAAACATTTAATTTTAAAAGTTTTTTTAAAAAAGATTCATTTGAGAGAGAGAGAGAGGGTGTGTGTGTGTGCACAGGATTGGGGGGAGGGGCAGAAAGAGAGAGAATCCTCAAGCTGACTCCCTGCTGAACATGGAGCCCAACAACACGGGGCTCGATCCCAGGACCCTGAGATCATGATCTGGGCCGAAATCAAGAGTTGGGCGCTCAACCGCCTGAGCCACCCAAGCACCCCAGTAGACATTTAGTTTTAGAATAATTTCAGATTTATAGAGAAGTTGCAAAGACAGCATAGCGTTCCCATGCACCCCTCAGTCAGTTTCCCCCTGGGTCACCATGGGACGTGTGCCAATACCAAGAAGCTGACATTGGTCCATTATTAACTTGACTCCTGACTTGATTTAGACTTCCCCAGTTGTCCCACCGATGTTCTCTCTCTGCTCCAGCATCCGAGCTGGGGAATGCACTGCACGTGGTCATCTTGTCTTCCCAGGCTCCTGTGGGCCATGTCATGTCGTTTTTTGATACCTGCTCTGGGCCAAGGCGAGGGCCCTAGAGGTGAGCGGGGAGAGCTTTGGACGCCGGCAGCTCGTGGTCCAGGGAGCCAGGTGGACGTGGGCAAACGCTTGCATCGTGGTGAAAAGCTTGCAGGACGACGTGGCCTGGCGCGGCGAGCCTGGACACAGGCAGCTCTGCCCGGAAAACCAGTGAAGGCGGGCCTGGAATGCTCTGGAATTGCTTTGAAAGGGGGGGAGCTTGATTGAAAAGCTATCCTGAATAATAACATCTAGCACTGTATTTTGATGGGATAATTGTTTTATATTTATAAAGATTCTTAATTATCTCCAGCAGATGCATTGAGCTCACTCGGTAATTGAATTAAGGAAAATGTCCTTTCAAGCATTGTGAGTCGTTGCTATAATAAAAAAGAAAGAATAACTTTAAAGCACTTCCCCACATGACCTAGACAAACTCGTTATTACTGAAAGCTGAGTAATTCCATTAAGGACCCAGTTGGCTCTAATATAACAGGTATTCTAGAGATGCCGGATTAAAATTGCAACAGACAATGGAAATTTCCTTCCTTTGGGGACCCCTTGATGACCCCCATTTAGAGCTGGTCCTTCCCTCCTGGGCCCTGGACGAGCTGCTATTTCTGCGCCTGTTTCACAATCACACCGTGTTGTGATCACCTCTGGGTCTGTCTCACACCCTTTTACCGCCCCCATTGGTGTCTCGAGAGCAGGGGCTGCACCTTGCCCACTTCGGTATCACTCCTGAACTGAGTTCTTCCACAGTGTCTTCAGAAAGCACCTTCTCCACATTGTATCTTTGGCTGGACATGGTTTTTTTTTTTTTTTTTTAGCTTCATTGCAACAACCGCGGGATTGCAAATGTCCAGGTTACCGGAATGCTGGCGACAAGGGGGTCCCACAGCATCGAGGAGACTGTGCCTTGATGGCCCGAGTCCCCGGGCTTGGCAGGCAGCTCAGGGGTGGGGGTGGGCGGGACCCCAGGAGGATCCCGGACAGATTGGCCGTGAACTTGGAAGAAAATCAGTGTTCATCCTGGAGTTCACTGAATCATAATCGTGTCTCGAGTGGCACGGCCACTTCCTGGCTCTTGCACGGCCCAGGTGAGCCTTCTGCTGGTGGGGGAGCTCCTGCCCCACCCCCATATCACCCGTCTGCAGAGCCAGAGTAGCCCTTGCGTCTGGTAGGACTTCCTACAGTTACCTGCAGGGGTGGGGCGGCTGGAGTAGGGTGGCTCCCTGGTTCTTTCAGAGGTGCATGGATTCAACAAGCAATTATTGAGTGCCCACGATGCCCAGACGCTGGGCCGGACTCTGCTGATATGGCGGGGAGCCAGCCAGACGGGCCACTTAATGCACCGAGTCTACAGTCCAGCGTGGGGACCTGCATTGAATGGTAAACGAAAGAAGAAACAGAGTAACTACAGACTGATAAGTGTTATCCACCCAGGCAATAAATCGGGGGTGTGAGGGAGGTGTTGGCGGGGCTGGAAGGCACTGCCTGCACTCTGGACGCCTGCCACCCACCCGAGCCTGCAGGGGCCGGGGCAGCCCTGGACCCACTCCCTTACCAGCCTCTCTCGCAGCCGATGGCCAGTCCTCGCCACTCTCAACTTGTCTCCTCCCTTCTTCCTCTCCCTGTCACCTTCTCATGCCAACTCCAGCATGCCTGTGGAACCTCAGGTTGTCCTGCTGCCAACTGCCCCATCCTCTCTCATGTCCTAGTTCCGATGCTCCAACAGAGACCCCGCTTGTCCACCTCTGCATCGCCTGTCCCAGGTGGGGACCACTCTGGTGCAATCAACTGAGGTGGGTACAGAGCGAGTGACCCGGGACATGGGTGCTCAGGAGTGGGGGTGGTGGGCGTGATGGGCACAGCCAGGGGCCTCCCATGCTGCAGAGAGGCGTGGGGCCTGGGACGAGGTCCTGCTCTACCCCCTTATCACGTCTTAACACCTCGGTGCCTCGGGTGAGGTGTGCCCGGCACCCCACCTACCTGCGCACGCGCATGCGCCCTGGAGGGACTCCGTCCTCTGCTGCGGACTTCTCCTGTCCCCTGCTCTGATCACCCCACGAAGTGTCCTGGGCCTGTCAGAGGCAGGAAACTCGGAGTGATTTTGTAACTTATATAACGACGGACGGATGTAAGGGCTGCTTTGCTGCCCATAGTGACGGTTTCAAAGGGCAGCTCTGGGCGGGAGCTTGTTATCCACTTTTATAGAATTCCACATCCTTTCTGAATCTCAGGATTACAAAACAGCCACTGAGAAATCATGCACCCCATTAACATCGAGACTTTTATGTATTTACAATTCAGCTTAAATTTTTACCAAGAGAGGTTTTCAAAATGTAACATGTGTTAGTCACTGCGTGAATTGCGAAACCAAGGGAATATCTCCAAAGTGCTGGCCTTGACAATGTAATCTGGCAAGGCTTGGGGACGAATAAAAATAACACTTCTCAGCATCGCTGTCTCAAAGGGTAGGAGGGATCTGGAGCCCTCCCCGAGCCCATAGGTAGTTGGTTTGCATGAGCAGGATGGTGGCTGGTGAGCCAGGGACAGCGGGAAGAGAGCGTGTCTGCGGCGTCAGGGGGCCTGGTATGAGTTCTGCTACTCACTGGCCAGGTGACCTTGGGCGTTTTCCAGACCCTTCTCTGCAGGGAGAGGCGCCCAGGTGGTACCACAGTGATGGAAAGTTCCCACTCTGCCCCACTGACTCCCAGGTGATGTGAAACCCAGAGGCACTCGCGCCCGTCCCCACGCCGAAATCCCAGGCAGCCCCCTGGGAGGCTGGAGGGAGGTGGCACCCCAGCTGTCCGGCTAGCTTGGTTTCTAAACACAGCAAGCCTGCACCTCCCTGCTGAGCCATGAGCCTGCAGGTGGCTTGCTGAACACGTGGTTTCTGGATGCGACATGCAAGTTAGCATTTGCACTCTTTGTCTGGGTTCCCCGGGTTTGTTTTTCCTGCACTTGCAGTCCTGAAATATTCCTGATTGTGTTTATGTTGAGGCAGGACACGTGGAGGCAGGGGGCTCCTGCACCAGGATCTGCTGGGCCCTGCCTCCCCCATCCTCCCGCAGAGCACAGGCAGGTGCCGCCGCCGGGATCCTGAGCCAGCCGCGTGCAGAGGCATCCAGGGCACCTGCCCACCCCCGCCTCCCGCCCGCGGGCGTCTGTTATCAGTGCCAACTGCGTCACACCTTCTACCCGGAATGCCCCTGTCCATGGGGGGGACGTCGGCTTTCGGGGGAAGGCCTGATTTCTGACCCTCACGCCACCAGGGAGTGAGCACTGGGATTATTCCCATTCCACAGATGACAAAACAGAGGCTTGAGAGTGGCTGGCATGCCCCACGTTACACAGGCAGTGCAGACAAAGCCGGGGTCAAAGGCGGTCATTGTTTCTATTCCGAATACCCTTCTTCAGCTGTCCCTCCTCCGAGGTGTTGCCCCAGTTCCTCACCACGATATGGGATGGCCTGGAGCCTCCCTGACAGCGCCTGCGAGGGCCCCGTGTGCGCCTTCCCCTTGGCTCCATCCGGGCCTCTCTGTTGGCTTGGATCATAGCCACCTAACCAAACCCCTCCTGCTCTCCGGCACGGCTTTTTAAACGGCTGGTGTCTTGCTTGCCTATCACGACTGTGAACCCCAGGAGGACAGGAGCCCCAGGCTGGCGGCCCCATGCCCTGTCCCGGCTAGCCACGCAGTCGACTCTCAACCTCGCCTGCTGACCGGTGACTTGTTATTCCCTGAGGCTGGGTTCCACGTGTCCGGCCACAGGAGGCTAGGTCCGCCCCCCACCCCCCCCCGCCCCCAGGTCCTTGGCTGGCCAGCATTTCAAATGATATTGTTTCATATTAAATTATTTAAAATTCCATGGACCCTGGTTTCACAATCAAATAATTCGATCTTGTTTACAAATGGAATTTTTACTTTTTGACGGTTTCTAGCTTTGCTGGGCTGGATGGTCAGTGAAAGTGTGTCCTCCCGTGCCCTCCCGCGCACCTCTGCTGCCTTCCCTGGGGGCACCGTGGGGTCTGGGAACCGTCCTGGGGGCTGTGGACGGGGCTGTCCCTTCACTGCATGCGGGGCACAGAGTGTGGGGGGCCTCTCTCATCCTCTAGCTTCCGCCAGGAGAACGCCTACAAATAACAGGATTGGAGGGGGCCTTGGATTCCTGTGGTCCCAACACCCCTTTTGATAGGTTAGGAAACCAAGGTGCGAGATCCCGGGCCCTGGCTGGCTCGAGCCCTGGCCCCAGGTCTTCTAATGCTCTTGTCCAGGGGCTGCTCTGCATGTCTCTCTTCCTCCACCGAAATCCCTGTTAGCTGGTATGACTGCTTTGGGCTACAGAGACACAGATGTGGAGAGACATGAGCTGTGACCTCTGGAGCTCATCATCTGGGTGTTGGGGTGGGGACAAGGGGACGAGAAGTGTCTAAGGAAGAGGCCATGACTCAGTGGTCATAGGAGGGGGTAAAGGGCCCCGAAGCTCCAGGTGGGGTGGAGGCAGCAGGTGGAGCATAGGGAACAGTGTCTGCAAAGCCACGGACGCGGCTGAGCTTGGTGGGCCAACTCGCGTCAAGGCTTAGACCCAGCATGTGAATATCTTAACCAGAGGGCTAAATTTCAGTCTTTCCCAACAAGTCCCCTTATCACCCTGGAGGCTGCCTCTGTACCCAGCGGTGCCACCTTCACTGGCAACAGGTTTGCAGCCTCTCTTCTGGAACCTTCTCTAGGCCAGTAATGGTGCAGGGACAGATGGGCTTCATTGTTTTGTGGTCGCTCACATGAGTGACCTGGGTTGGCCCCAGCAGCAGCCCCGCTGGGCTTGGCTCAGAATGGCATCTGGCTGTTTCCACAAGTGGCCGGCTCTCTGAGGTCAGAGCCGAACCTGCTAAGGAGGCCACACAACGGGCTGTCTCTGCAGGCCCCCCCAAAGGGCCCAAGGCAGGCGTCCCAGCCAGCCCCAGGCTGCAGAGGGCTGCCTCCAGAGAGGCTCAGAGAAAGCTGGCTGATAATGTCCCAGCTGACTTCCCAGCTGCAAGGTGGGCATTCATTCTATCAAACGTCCCGGGAGCCGAACGCTGGGCAGGGCCTATGGGCATGAGCAACTGGCTGCTGGCTATGGCTCCTGCCCATCCCCCCGGGGTCCCTGAGACGTCCCTCAGCCCTGGAGCCCACTCCCGGTCTCCGTGTCTCGGCTGCATCACTACGGCCCTTGTGGTCCCCGCCTTGCAAGGCTGTCCCCGAGGGGGTGCCTGAGGCAGATCAGAAACTACTCAGGACGCAGTGATCCCTGGGCTGGCAGGGGCTTTCGGGGAGGGGACGCTGGTCCTCGTCGATGGAGGTGTGAATCCAGCCACACTGAAAATGCATGCACAGTTTGCGTAGAACCCACACTTACTAGGAATCTGGTGGCCCGGTGTCGGAGAGGGTGACAGAGGATGGGCCCCTGGATCTAAAGGCTCTGAGCAAGAGGGAGGTGCATCTGCCTGCACGTGTTGGGATGGACAGATCTCTAGAATAAACAGGGCAAAGAATGCAAGATGCCAAACAAAATCTGATCCATTTTGAGTTAAAAAGGGGGAAGGGATCGATGGGGGTATGGCTGGGGGTGAATGCCAGGAGTCGATTCCTCCTGTCGTGAGCTCTCCTCCAAGTGCTTATGGGCCCATAACTCGCCAGGTCCTTGGAGGGCCCAGGAAGTGGGTATTACCATTTGGCCCCCTCTGTGGATGAGGGCTCCGCTGTCGGGGAGGTGAGGGCCCTGCCCGGATGTGTGGGGGTGCAGGCCACGAGCCCCTGTCCGGCATGCTGCTGACGCAAGGCCTCGGGCCGAGCTGGGAGCTTCCACTCTTCACCTTTTCCGTGTTCTCTGTGGCTCCTCTCCAACTGCAAGTATGACTTTATTTTAGAAAACGTCAACAGGGGTATCTGGAGGGGTGTAACAGGGTTTTGTTCCTTGGCTGCGTTTTTCTGTATGAAAGATAGAAACACGGTCATGCCGTTTTAAAAACTCAACCCCCCCAAAGAGAAAACTGGGTCCCTAGGAAGAGAACTGAAGAAAGCACCAGGATTCCAGAAAGTGAACCCTCAGGGGCCTCAGGGGGGCTCCCCGGTGCTTGCTTACAGGTCAGCTCTGTTTCCCGTGGTTTCCAGAATGTGGAAGATGGAAGGTGTAAGACCCCTGGACAATTTCTGGTCCAAGTCCTCATTTCATGGGGGGCCAAATGAGGCCAAGAGAGGGGCTGCCTTGCTCTCAGTGTCCCCTGGGCCCCACGTAGGGCCTGCCCTGATGCTCTGAACCTGAAGCTGGAGGTGAGGACGCCCCCTATTTCTCTGCCATGGTTGCTCGATAACCAAGTCAAAGTGGCCAAGGGCCTCTATTTAGTCCCAGACAGGATCCAAAGACCCCCTGGGACAGAACTGTCTCCTGTCGGCCTGGGCCCCAAACGGCTGCCTCCCTGGTATGACCCTGGCCCCAGTCCCGCACACACTCGACCTGGCAGGCCTGCTACACCGCTCACCGCAGCTGTTGGGAGGGTGACGTTGCCATTGGCAACGGTGACCATTGCCACCAATGACCATGCCTTTGGTGACCACAGGTATCCCGGTGGCCCGGTGCGGGAAGGCCACTTGAGGCGCTCATGAGGGCCGAGTTTGCTCGGGCAACAGTGGTGTGGCAGGCATTCAGCTCTGCCCTTGCCAGAGCCGCCCCCCCCGGCCTCAGTTTCCCCTTCTGTAGAACAATGGGGGTGGCCTAGAGGACTTCAAACCTTTAAGATGGTCTTCTTCCTGGCCTTGCTCCTGCTTCAGGTCAGAGGAAGGACAGACCAGTGGATCTTGGGGATCTTGGTCCTATCTCCATGGAGACCTGCCCACCCGATTTCTGGCCAGTCTCCTGATGGTCACTGGGGAAACGGTGGGACGGTGGGCTCCAGCTCCAGGCTTCCTACTGGTTGGTGACTTTGATTTTTAGACCCTTGGAAACTTGGTAATGGAGGGTGCCCATAAAGACAAAGGGCCTCATTTTACAGAGAGGAATTACACCGCGAGGCGCTGTGAAGGCAGCAGAGTCTGGCCAGCAACCCCCCAAGACCTGGCTTGCACCCCATGCCCCTCCATCACAAGCCCTCACCCCCAGAGGCCGGACTTAGAGCAGCAATTCTGCCCCATCCCCTCTGTGGGCTTCCTTCATTCTTGACGTCTGTCTGCTTGCAGAAGGGGTCTTCTCTCCTACATGGACCCCTAAACTCCACTCCTATTTCCCTGAACCAGGCTCCTGGCTTCTGCCTTACAAGGGAGGCCTCAGATGCAGGGGCTGGGGGTCTCAGTGCTCAGTGACCGAGGAGCTTAGACTGCTTTGGAAATTGGGAGTTGCCCATCACTTCCACAGCGATGGTGGGATGGGGTGGCCCAGAGTCTAGAGCACAGACGCGGTCTTGGCCATCTATGCTTGAGACCAGGAGCACATCTCCTCTCGGTCCCATCTGGGACCTGGTCTCTGGCCTTGGCCCTGGCACACATCTGTGACCCTTCTGGGGACTGAGTGTGGACAGGGCTTTGTGTGTAGACTCGGTACTGAGTCAGACACACCTTCTGTGAAACTTGGTCCCAGAGCTGGTGGGGGGCACAGCTGTGGCCAGTTAGCATAGAAACCCCACTCAGGCTGGCTTAAAGGGAACTGACTGGTTCTCGTGACCAAGGAGTCCAAAGTTCAGCTGGACCCCCTGGCTCGCACGATGTCACGGCACGCGTCTGTCCTTCTGCACTCGGCTTCCATCCAGACCCCCTTCACTGTGCGGTGGGCTTCCCCCACAAGGTGGCAAGGTGACTCCACGGGTCATTCTGCCATTCAGCAATCTCAGCGCCCCCTCAGAGCCCTGATTTGGCCCAACCCTGCCCTTGCGTCCTGAGTGGCCCACCACAGTGTGCCGCTGGGCCAGGCACGGCTCACGTACCCGGCCAGGAGCCCCGTTGGCCCAGCCCCGCCCAAACTATAAGGACCACAGCGGGGAAGGAGAAGCCTGGGGCTTGGGGCCAACAGAACCAGAGATGTGTAGCACACCGGGCAAACCAGCGCCTGTTAAGAGAGGGCTCGGGGTGGGGGGCACAAACCGCGGGGACAGGACAACGGGCCAGCAGCTGTCCTCCCTGGGGGCTCCACGCTCCTGCCCTTTTCCCACAGGCCCCCGGTTTCCCCTCGAACACTGGCTTGCATGGTACTGTCGCTGCCCTGGTTTGACACGACACAGGCAGTGTGAGCACCCCCGGGCTGTCAGGGAATCCCCAGCAGCTTCTGTCGAGCCCACCTCAGGCAAGAAGCAAACGTTGTCTGCACACCCGACGGCCCCTCAAGGTGTATGGAGGCCATCTTTCTTTAGAGAGCGTGGGGGTTGTGTCAGGTTGAATCCTGTCCCCGCCGGCACAAATTCACATCCACCTGGAACCTCAGAACATGACCGTATTTGGAAATAGGGTGTTTGCAGCTGTAATTAGTTAAGATGATACAGGCCCTAAACCCAATGGGCCCTAAACCCAATGGCGGTGTCCTTGTGAGGAAGAAGCCATGAAGGATCCTCCCCTGAAGCCTTCAGAGGACGTATGGCCCCGCAGACACCTTGGTTCTAGACTCGTGGCCTCCAGAATTGTGACAGAGTGTCTATTGTGTTAAGTCGGCCAGGTTGCGGTCCTCCGTTATGGGGGCGCTAGGAGATGAACACAGGTGTCCAGGAGGATCTCGAGCTGGATGGGGCGACAGGCCGGTGTGTCTGGGCCGAAGGGGTGGTCCCGGGGGTGGGGCCTCACCCTGTGACATCTTGGCATTCAGCATCAGTCCCTCCCGGGTGCTGCTGAGGTGCCCGCTCACCTTCTCAAGGATGTGGGGCCCTGCATCCCATCCTCCGGAGCCCAGGCTGCCTCCAACACGTCCCCTTCTCTTCCCCAGTCCTGGTCTCATCCCGCCCCCGGAGAACCAGGGCCTTGCTTCATCGTGGGCTGATGGAAGGCCAATGAGGCCCCTGGGGGAGCAGGAGCATAGAGGGGGGCAGGGGATGCTACTGGAAACCTATGGTTCACTACATGGAGATACCACTCTCTGCATCTGTGGGATCTCGTGTCCCCAGGCCCAGCTCAGTCTGACTCAGCGGCTGTGCTTAGTTCAAATTCTTGAAAGACGGATGGCTGCGGCCGGGCTGGAACTTGAAGCTCTATCCAGGGAGCGTGGCCCGGAAGGCTTCCTTGCTTGATATAGACTGCACCAACTGGGCTGGGAAAGGGGTGGACTCTTCAGAAGGGCATGGAGAAGGAGCGGCATGATGGTACTCATACACAGTGAATGCTCAGGTCCAGATTGGTGTGCTGAGCTTGGTGCTCAGACTGGTGTGCTTATCACACCTTTCATGACAGTTGGGTTACTGCTTGCCACGCTTAACAAGCCAGAGCAGAAGCTGAGAGCCCTTCTACCCCGGTCTTACTATACTTATCAACTGGCTGTGTGACCTTGGCCAGTCCTTTCCCTCCCTGAGCTACTATGGTCTTCTCTTAAAATAAGGGGCCCGGCTAGATGCCCTCCGAGGGATTTCCTCCTTCCACGGGTCCATGACTTTATCAGACTCCAAATTAGGTGTGCTTTGAACTGAAGTTTGGGGGTGCACTTTGAGTGTTTTGCTTGGATTTGGAGTTCAGCAAGCTCTGGGCAGTATGGACAGGCTGACCCGGCCACAGGATCCCAATTTCACCTGGGCATCTGCCACCATAAGGTGTTCTTTTGCTTTGGGGTTTTTGTGCCTCTAAGAATATGAATATTAATACACACTAAGGCAAAAACTTTGGAGGTTTATGCTGGCGGAAAACCTCAGAGGAAAATATATTGAGGGAGGCACTGGGTGAAGGGCAGTGACCAAGGTGACAGGTTGGCAGGAAGGGAAAAAAATGCATCCAAAGTCCAGCGGGCGGGGCATAGAGAGCAAGAGGGAAGCACGAGGTGAGCAGGGCACATGTGAGGGCCAGCGGGAGGCTGGGAGGCTGGGAGCCTGGGAGGGCCGGGTCCCCACCCTCAGAGGAAGCTGCCCACCTCTGTGCACACTGCCTGTCTGCCTTGCAAGTCCAGCTTCATCATCTCCGACGGCCTGGGGCCCCGGGGGCCCATGGAGCTCAAAGCATTTTCTAGAATGCTTGCCCACACTGTGAAGAGCTGTCCAGCAGAGGCGATGCGTGGATGAAGCAGGTGGGTAGATGGCAGCGCTCATAGATGCTGAAGGTGAGCCCCACACCTGAGCCGACCGTTGGGCAGGGGAGGCGGGGGCAGAAGCCCGGGTCTATGGCACCTGCTTTCTGGGTGGACAGATTCAAGGAAAACACCAGTGTCCGGGCCCCAGGGTCAGGACGAGCCTCAGAAGGCATCCTGCACTGGCCCTGAGAGTGGCTCGGAGGGCGACGCTGGGTCAGCAGGTGCTGGGCAGCTCACTCCTGGATGGAAACAGTTTTCCTCATGGGACCACAGGCGTGTGTAAGTGTGTGTGTGTGTGTGTGTGCACGCATGCGTCTATGCATGGGGAATGGGGGTGCAGGAGCTTCCCCACATTGCAGTTCGAAGCCTGGAGAATGACTCGAGCCCTGCCAGGGCTTTGGTCGTCCCTCTGGCGCTCCGCCGGTGCGGGCAGGTGGGCAGCGAAGGCCACGAAGAAGCCGTGGCAGGGGTGTCCACTGCTCTCAGCACCCCCTGGAAGGGCCTGAGAGGGAGTAAAATGGCAGGCCGCAACAGCTGGATCATACAAGAGCAACTTCAAAGAGATAAAAACTGTCAGAGGAACAAAACAAGGAAAAGGGAAAATCCTTACGAGGGAAAATGGACTCAGAAGGACAGATTGCAGGAGGCACACAGACGGGGC